TGCTGAACCCCTCCTTTCTTGGTATCTTCGAGTCAAGAGTAGATGTGGTTTGGGGAGATAAGTGTTCCCAAATGCAACGTGCGTAAAATACCAAGTCACACTGGAATCAAGCACAAGCTCTTGTTTTGAATACAAGGGCTGGAATTTTATGGCCTCTGATATGTAAGGTCAAACCTGATGAATTTATGGCCTTTTTAGCTTTAATCATCATGATTCTTTGAATGTTCTCATCAGTTACAGCATGGGTTACACAGGAACCATCTTTCTTCTGCTGCTTTTGAAACAAAAATGTTAAATAATTCTGCCTTTTTAAAGCCAATATTAACAATAATACTATCTTCATCTTGCTGTTGGTAGATAGATTTCCTTTGTTTCTGGCAACTTAAAAGAATGTTCCTGCTCTCCATTGTTCTTGCAGGTGTGGAAATTTGTGCTGGTTTTTTTTTTTATTTTTCCTTATCAGTTTCCATAGTTGATAGATTCAGACTTCTACCAAGTCTTCTAGCTTTTGTTTTCCTTGTTTGTTTAAAATTGGGATTTTATATCTACTTTTTGCATTATTTTTTAGTGCATTAGCAGCAGTTCCAGCTTGATTCTTCTCATCACTTCCTCTTTATCATTTCCTCCTTTTGTACACACACAGAGAGCCTTCTGCAAGCAACTTGCAAGCTTTTATATGCTCTTTCTCCCCTACTCTGGGGACGTGAAGGCATTTTGTTTAGTATGATGTTCTTATTTAACAGAGGTTTTGGGGACAGTGTAATCCTTTCTTCTCGATAATTTTTAGCCAGTGGGGTGTCTTAGTTTCAGAATATGTGCGTCTGCTGCTCTTTTTGCCTTTGTAAATACTCTGTACAATATACAGAATGTAGTTAGAATAGAATCATAGAACAGTTTAGGCTGGAAAAGCGCTTTAAGATCCCCAAGCCCAACCGTTCCCCTAATCCTTCCATCCAACCACTAAACCCTGGCCCTAAGCACCTCGTCTGCCCAGCTTTTAAATACCCCCAGGGATGGGGACTCAACCCCTTCCCTGGGCAGCCCCTTCCAGTGCCTGACAGCCCTTTTGGGGAAGGAATTTTTCCTAATATCCAACCTAAACCTGCCCTGGCGCAACCTGAGGCTGTTTCCCCTTGTCCCATCTCCCGTTCCTTGGGAGAAGAAGCTGACCCCCATCTCGCTACAGCCTCCTTTCAGGTAGTTGTAGAGGGTGGTAAGGACAGTGCTAGTTAGCGCTTCCTGCAGTGGTGGTGTGCTTGTGAGCTGATGGATTCAAAGTGGTTTTCTCTGTCAACCACAACACCAATAATTTGATATGTATTTATAGGTAAGGTAACATGAACTGAGAACTGACTGAATTTGACTGACATGTTTTTGTTTGTATCTTATGTGCTGTAGACTACAAAACCCATAAAATACCTGAATGAATCATTTTTAAAAAAACAAAAAAACCTACCTGAATTTAAGAAATTGAATATAAGATAAATCTCAAAAACAATTTGTAACTCCTGTGTTCACTTCAGTCATTAAGTTCCTAAGAGGGACAACTGCATAAACTTCAAGACTGTATGCTCTTTAATATTTCCAGACGATTTGCAGATGATAAAAGATCGGGGGTTGTTGGATAATGGAGAGAGCAAGTCGCTAGTGTATAGTGACCTGGAGCTCTTGGAAAGGTCAGTGCAAGAAAATGGATGTAGAAAATGAGTCATAACTGTAAAATGAGGAATTTTATCTGTATATGAATTCTAATTCATATGCCGTAGATGAAACAAGATTACTTCAGGAGGATCTGACAACCTGTGTTACATAACAGATCGGCCTAAATGATTGCAACGATCCCTTTGATTTTACAACCTATGTATTTGCGAATTGCCATCTGCAAATTACTTGGGAGAAAATTCAGGGTGATCTGGAAAGATGAACGTGTTTTAATTTAAATTATATAAACAGTGGCCTAATTGCTGCATTCAGGCGGGTATTCTCCCAGCAGTATGTTCAAAGATGATTTTTCAGAATGAACAGAAGGAGTCAGACACATTTTGAAACAATTGTATCTCAGGAGAGTTAATTTATATGGATTTCATCTTTCATAATTATTGTTTACTTGCAGTTTTCTAACAGCTGAATTCTCAGTCTTTAAAAATTAATTTGTATTTATCTGCCAAAAGAAAATGAATGTAACTTCATAGTTATTCTTTTTTGGTTTTCTAGATTTTAATAATAAGCGAAGAAGAGCCTGAAAGTATTGTGACTGAAGACGAGGATTTCTCCTCCTATCCAGGGCCTGTCATGGTAAGCAAAAGAGCTTTGTAGGGTCTGACACAGAGCACAATAGGCTAAAATGTGAAAAACATTAGAGAATTAATGTTTACGTGTGGGGTGGTGGAATTTTAAGTGTAGTTCTAGACTAGGCCTTTTTCCTAATACTATTACAAATCTTTCTTTTTTATGACTTTATTAATCAGGCTGCAGGAAGGAAACCTGTTTCCCACATCATGCTTAGTTGTTTGAGTGCTTGTCTTTGAAAGCTTAGTAACCCTAGTGAGTTACTGGTACCTGAATTCTCTAAACACTTCATCCTGTTTGAGCCTTTCATTGGTCATTGATAGCTTCCTAAGTGGTGAAGAAGGCAGCAAGTGCCAGTGCTGAGGTTAACTGTTAACGCTTTGTTTGTCAGGATGAAGAGACTCAGCACAGCCTTGAATGCATCCAGGCTAATCAGATTTTTCCCAGGAAACAGCTGATCCGAGAGGATGAGAACCTTCAGGTAATCACCACACTGCTCCTTGCCAGTTAAGATCACAATCTCTAGTTGACCTATGTATTCTCTGGCTTCTGCAGAATTTTCATTCACAAGTGAGCACAGTAATAGGAGAAACATGTTTTCTTTTTAGAAACTCATGTACTCTTGGTAGGACAGAGAACTTGCACATTATGTTACAAGAGATTCCTTAGAGCGTCTGAAAAATACAGCTATTGCTTGTGTAGTAACTTCAAGTGCTAGGTTTTATTCTGTAGTTTAGAACTTTGTTTTTAAAAAAAACCCCAACCCACTAATCTTGTTAAATACTACTGTTGCTTCTTGTTACTGAGAAGCCAGTCTTATGTTGCACAAAATGGATATTTTTTGGTTTCCTAATTTTCAAAAATTCCTTTTGAAATCAGTGTAGTTCAAATGATTTATCCGTGTAGATGCTCTTATATCAACTGAAGAGGTAGTTTGTTTCATTTTAAGAGAAAATGTTTTTAATTGATTTAAGCTAGGTTGGTGTAAAACTAGATTATTTTCAAGTTGAGCATTTATGCTTTTCACCCACTTCACTTAAATTGGGCTTAAGTCACATTTTTAGTTAAACAGTTGCAACTTTTTTGTGCAATGTAATATGACTGCAGGTTTTCTAACTTTATATGGTTTGTCCAGCTGACTTCAGCCATGTAGCATTTAGTTGTCCAGTCTAAGCTGGTTACCTGAGCTTGCTTAGTCAATGTGGGGGACCAAGAGCATAGAAGATTATTCATCTTATATGGTTTGCCTACTTCAGGATGAATTTAATAACATTATGGAAATGCTACTCTCCATTAAGTACAGAGCAAGAACATAAATCAAGGGGTTGGTCAGACTGCTTGCCAAAATGTGAGGATATTTTTCTCAGATTTTTCATAAAAATCCATTGTTTCCCTGACCAAGCACTTACTACTCAGGGAAATTAAGAGAAAATGAGGAATCATTTTTAAAAAAGGCTACAATTAACCTCTAACCAACCTTACCCAAGACTTTCTTTCTTAGCGGTAATAGCTCGGCTAAATTCTCAGCAGTATTTCATTTTGATTTTATGATGATGTGTGCTTGAGTGTATGCTTACAAGAGGTACATATTTTTGGTAAGTGGTTTCTGAAAGATTTTTCTTCCCATTTTGAAGGTCCCGTTCATTGAACTTCATGGTGAGAGTACGGAGTATGTAGGACGAGCAGAAGATGCCATCATTGCACTTTCTAATTATAGGCTTCACATCAAATTCAAGGAGTCTGTTGTGAATGTAAGTGTTATTCGTGCTAATCCAAATAAGAGAATTTAGGGTAAAAGTACAGTGATCCTGCCTTTTAAGGTTAGTGGTAATGAAAAACCTCCTTATGTTCAAATCACATTTTTCAGGGGGAACAGATAACATATTTAGGCATCAAAGGATGACTCAGCACCTCTGAAAATTGGGCTTTGTAAGGAAACTTGACATCATTCAACTTTACATTCTCTTCACAGCTGGCTATGTCAGCCATTTGTTCTCCCTAAGCTCTGTATATACTTAGTAGAGAAATAAAAGGTCTTCCAAAGGGCTGTTTGGAGCACCTGAGCTAGATTTGTGCCTTGCTTGGAGCTTCAGAAAGTAAAAGTAGGTCCAGCTACTGAAGTTACATGCCTGAAGTTCGATAGTATGACTACAGTCATTGACGTAAGAGATCTCTGAGCTGGACCTCAACTTCAGATGGCTACGCATTTCTGTAAAGAGCTTTACTCTTAAGTATCCATTCTTTGTTACATATCCAGCTACTCATGATCATAGACATAAATTAAATGGGCATTGTATTGTCCCTCACAGTAGTGTAGTGCTGACATGTACTACTCTTACTAGTTGTAATACCATTTGTGAACTGTATAGAACTTGCTAGGACATTATACATGGCACAGGATAATTTTTGTAGATATTGGTAACAAAACCAGTAAAATAAAATCCGAAGAATCAAAGCAATTTTTTTTCTCCTGATGTTTTTTTTTTACCAATCTCCTTATTTTGAGACAAGTCCTGACCCTGCCTGGTTGTTCACAATTGCCACGTGTCAGTCACAGATCCTGAACTATGTGGTGGTGAGTTAAGTGTAAAACACCAAAACTGCATATTCCAAAGCTAAGGAAAGCAAGGGAAAGAAGATATAAGAATTGACAAATGTCCAGCACATGCATGACTGAGAGACGTGCAACACAGTGGTCTGGAACATCAGTGAGATCTCCTGTGCACCTAACAGATTTAATTTTTGATGCTGTGTCAATCTTACATTTAAATTTTTTTTATTGTTTTGTGCCAGAACTGAATTACTAACGCTGTAAAAAATGTTGTTTACTAACTGAAACTCAATCTTTACTGGTTTATGTTGTCTCTAATCATACGGCTGTTATCTACAGACTTTGAAATGTGCCTGTGTCATAGTTACCATCAATCACTTTCAGTGCTATTTTAGTTCAGGAATTGTCAATGTAGTAGGTGGAACAGGCATGTCTGCTAGGCGGGGGAACATCTGTGTGCAGTATTAAAGTGCTGAAATTCATGATGATGTGGGGGTTTTCAGCAAATAAAGGTATTATTTCTGAACACGGCAATTACTGAAAATGATGGCGAAAAATTTATGATGACAAAAATGTAATTGGAAATTTAAGGACTATTATCTTCCACTGCTGACCGTGCAAAGGAGATGATACAAGTATGTGCAGAGGTAGCATAACTTGACTTTTCACTTCTCTTATTCTGTAGTCAATCCTGAAGTATAACTTGAGACTTAAAAGTTAAGCTGTAAGTGCCACCATGCGTTGGAATGGTAGCTAAGGGTCAGCAAGGTGCTGGGATGTCTCAAGTGCAGTCCAGCCATTCAAATTGCTATGTGCTGCTGGCTACAGAGAGAAGATGCGTTACAAGGCATGTGTTTTATAGGATTCCTTTGCTGATTTTTGAAACAAACATGAATTCTAGGGCTGAATTCTGCTACAGTAGATCTATATTGTATTACATACTGTTAGATTCTTTTTAATTCAGAGTGTGAATGTTGTATGAAATTGGCAACTAGAGTTGACAAAGCAAAGGCCTGAATATCTAAAAACAAGGAGCTGAGATGAGAAACAACAGTAGCCCTAGAAATCAAGAGGTTGTCCTGAGGAATGTCAAGAAATGATGGACTGACTTTATTAGAGAAGCCACTAATGCATGTACTGCACTTAGTGTCGTAGCTGTCCTTAATTGGGATATTAATTTTTAAGAACTTTCAATTTCGTATTTTTGAGCAGTAACAAGAATTGATGTTTTCTTAAATAACATGTTTGTGTTCAGAGTCCATAAAAATTTATCAATATTACCATGTTAATTTTGCTTCCCTGACTTTCATATCCAGTATTCTGCCCTCTCACTCTCTCTGATATCTTCAAGGTTGTTAGTCCTGCTTCATACGTAATCATTAACCAGAAAGATCCAATTAGATAGTGTATGAGGTAGAGCAGAATATGGATTATTCTTCTGTAACCATATATGACCATCACTAATAATGTAGTGTGAACTCTACTGGAATCCAAGGCAGACAGGATTTGGGATATCTTTAAGGATAAAACATACTTGCAATAATTAGGAACCATATTTAGCATTAGTTACATTTTGGAGTGATAATCTCTTTGGTTATTGTTGATCAAAAGTATTGATCGGATGGTGATTTTCTAAACTAGGTCTTCTCTGAGTAATTTTTGATTTAGTTAATTCTTTCCTACTGTTTTTATATCTCTAGAGCTATATGGAAAACACCTGTAAGAAGACATTTTTAAAAATGTATCAATGTTTACTAATGTTAGGAGTTTGGTTTTTTTAATTATTTTGAATTATTTTCATAAGATTCACTATCCTGACTTAAGCGCAGCCACACTAATGACCTTGTCACCTCAGCGGGGAGAAGTACTTCTATGTCAGAAAGAGGCTTCTTAGCAAGTATTGTATTACGGGACTTGTAAAATGAATCAATTGCCTGTGTCTGAATGTGCAGCTCTTCTATGTGCGCATCTCCTCTTGAAGTAGGTGTAACGTTCTTGTGGTCCTCCAGAGAAAGCGAAATGTGTGTCAACTGCTTGGCCTGTGGTAAAGGCAACTGCGTGAAGGAAATGGAATCCAGTTAAAAATGGACCAAAGGGTCTTTGGGATTTTTACCTCACTGTTCTCTCTTTGTTTACAATTCCATAGACTGGCTGTCAAAATGTTGCTTGTGAAACCTCAGTAAGTAGCGTGATGCTGCTGGATCGCTTGCTGCACCTGTGCTTGAAAATAAATACATTTAAAAGTTAATAATGCTCACATTGCAACACTGCAGAACACGGCTGTATGTGTAAATCTTTTCCATGGATAATTTCCTAGATCACAGTAGTAATAGGAACATGATGTTATAAACACAAAACCAAAAGATCCAGTAGACCATGCATAAACTGGGGGGATTACGACATTCAGAAGTGTTGACTTACATTTATCCATGGGATAAAAACACAGACTCAACAGTGATCTCTCGGTGCACATGGGAAGTTTGGTTCCCAGGCCCATCTCTATTGATTGGCTTTCCTTAAGAAAATTTCGGACTTTGCAGCTGGTGAATGATTCTGTCTAATAATTTTTCTCCCTGTAAGCTAATTGCATTTATGGGAGAATTAAAATTTTGGTGTGGTTTATGAAACCATGGACTTGCATGCAGTCTCTTTCAAATAGTAGATTTTGGGCACAGTAAAAAAAAAGTCATGCTGGCAAGATGAGGGAGACTTTCAGTTGTGGTGATTAAGTGAGGTTAAGTATGAGCTTTCCCCCCTGCTTGGCCTTTGGTGGAAGAATGATTGGTTTGGTATTTTCTTTGCATATGTAGCACAGCTGTGGTTCATCTGTGCTGAACAGTAGCTTAGTCCTTGTTTTGTTCTCAGGTCCTGATGCTCAAATTGTTCATATCGCAAGCATGTTAGTTGTGAAAGCAGAGGGGGAACCAATTATTACCTTCAAGAAAAAGCCTAGGTGTAATTAGTTGTAATTAAAAGCAGAATTTCCTTCAGGTACTCCTTGTAGGTTGTATGAACAAGATCACACCTGGGGGGATTCGATTCCCTCCACCTAGGAGGATTCTCAAAGACCTTCTGAGCTGACCTTCCATCCTTAGTTCTCCATATGCCCCATTATGCCATGCTTCTGGACATATAGCATGTATCCTTGGCCGTGTGCTCCTTCAAGTAACCAGTCTGTAACATAGCCCTGACATTATTTCAGGCTCTGAACTGGGAAAACAAGAAGAAAGTACTAATTACAGCTCATGGCCCCTGGGTGCCACATGGGATCCTGGAGAGGCTCAAGGCCAGATGGTGTACGGGGTGGAGTCTATAGCATAGTCGCTCATCAAGGGGCTGCCTTATAGCAGCCTGGCTGTAGTCCACCGCATACAGTTTGGCGTTGTGGTCAGGGGTTGAGCCATGGGGTGGGTTGTTCCAGCAGTGTAAACAGAACTTGTGCTTTTTTCTAACCACAGAGGTATATTTCTCTAAATATATCTTGTACTGCTGTTAGCTAACAGGCAGTTCCAGTAGTTAAAATAATAAAAAAAAAAAATTCAAAAAGAAAATGCTTGAGTGGTAGAATGTTGCTATTGTTTAAAATGAGATAATTTTGAAGAAGAGACAGTTAAGAGACAGATAGTGCAAGAGCACAGTGTTCCAGTACGCTCTGTAATGCATCTGATTGGCCTTGGATAACAACGCATGTTTATTCTTATAAAAGTGAAAATGATGGCTTCTCTGCTGCTTTATTTCGATAGCCGTTATTATATGGTGAAGTGCCTGCAAATAGAATTGATGGCTCTTTCAAGAGCAAGCCAACTGCACTGGGTGCCTGACTTGGTGCATGTATTGGCCTGAAAACCGTAACAATGATCTTGGAAGGTTATCAGTGGGAAAGAATGGGGAACGAAGGCAGATAATTTTACAGAGTTTTACTGGGAGTAGAATAATGGATAGGAATGAGATTGCAGATGCAAGAGGATCAGAGGACAGATTTTTATGACCGGAAAAGAAAATCAAAAAGATTGCTATGAAGGTTGCACTGAAGAAAAAAACGGCAGCTTCTAAGGAAATAGATGGTGAGCTGCGTGTAGACTGTCAAGAGAAAAAAGAATGACTGTTGAGCAGAGGGTAAATTGAAAGGGCAGAGAACAAAGAATGACTTTGAAAGAAGGAAATTAAAAATAATGCAGGAGTAGAAAAATACTTAGTATGTGATTAGAGTGCAGACAGGAGGAAGAGGAGCCAGAACCAGACTGCTAGGAGGAGGGAGCAGGGTGAAGAACTGCTTAAATGAAGGTAGACATGGGCTTGGGGAAAAAACGCAGTAAGAGGGCTTGGGGAAAAAATATTAACAGACAAAGCAGCATTTGACTAAAAAAGCAAATCTTCTAGAGTCTTAACTCGTTTAGTTGGAGAAAGTACCTTACTTTCCATGTTGGTGTGAGTCAGTGGTAGGTTTACATTTTTTATTGGGTGTGTATGAGGCTGCCCAGCTGGGAAGAAAGAATGGAAGATTCTCCAGTCTGAGGTCTGTTCCAGACCCTTAATTTATTAGACAAAACTCTCACAACATTGTCTCTACCCTGCAGACTAGAATCAAGTAGGAAAGAAATTAGCAGTTAAAATAAAAGGATTAGCTATAGCAACATCTGATCTTGTCTGTAATGCATTTAAATACTCTGTTACGCTGAGATCTAAGTCTGTCAGCATCTTCGCTGTACTTACTCTCTGCAGGTGACTCTGCAGTCACCTTGGGCTTAAGGATGGCAAATAAAGAGGGGGTTTGTCTCTCAGGAGGAAATCCTCATTTCATGTGTCCCTTCATGGTGCTAGTTATGTACCTTAATATTAGACTATCACAGATCATAAACCAGTAATAATACTGAAAACACAGACCAAAATTCAAGTTCCAGCTTTATTTATTTGAATACCCAAACTGCTGGGCTGTCGAGTCAGACACTGTCTTGTGCGTGAATTTTCAGTTCTTTAATGGCCCAGTTACAACCAAAGGAACAAAGAATAACCTCTACCAGTCTTGCTGGTTGCGGGAGATGAGGGTTAGTACTTCCTCCAGGTGCGGAGAATCCGGCACTGCTGCTTGGTCGTAGTCTGACAAGGGCAAGGATAAAGGTTGAGTATTAAGACAGTACCTGGCTGTTGTATTTTGGGGGTTGTGAGCTCTGGGCAATTATTTGAACTTTTGCATTTGGCAGAAGACTTTAGACTCTGACATTTGAGTTGGCAGGGAAAACACAAGGTGTGGCTGTCAGCTGTGCCTGCTTTCCCAAGGGATGTGAGCGGTTTGATCGCTCCCCTGGGCACAGCATTATCTATGCATCTTCATGCTCAGAGTAAGTTTTCTTGTGGTTGGTATTTCTCAGAGTATTCCACTGAAATCAGGTACTTTTTAAGCTTTGTGGTGCCTGAGTAGAAGCTGTCTTGATTCCTCACCCCAGATCCTGGATTGGAGGTGACCTTCAAGGACGTACCCAGAGTCACATGAAAGGCATTGCCAGAGCACGGTCTTACAGCCACATCTTGTAAGCCCCAAGCCAGAACTTAAACTTATGGATCAGACTCCTCTGATGGCAAAGAAGATAACAGAGTATTTGAATGTTTCTCTGATAGCCTTGGTATTGAAGCATCTCAATGGCAGAGTTTTTGTTGCCTTGTGTAATGTTCAATATAATCTAATAAACAATTAAAACAGTTTTACACTTCATGCTTATTATAGGTATTAGCTAAATTCTCTGTGTTTGGGATATAGACAGTTACGTATGAGGTAGTTGAATACTAACCTTTATTAATTTAAGACAGTAATGTATGTTTGCCTATCTCAGGTAAAGGTCCAAAAACATTGATGAAAACTTAATTTCTTTTTCTTGTGGTTTCTTCTTATCTTCAAAGGTACTTGTATATGCTTATATGTCTTGCCTGATCAAGCTTCTGCTAGTTACATGTTGGCATAAAACATAAGTGCATATAACTACACGTTTAAAAAAATGAACGAATTGACATTATTGCTTGAAATATGGCTGCTTCGGTCATGAGTGCTGATCTAAACAGGCCAAATGGTTTTTCCCCGAAGAGGAAACACGGGATATTTCCATATAATCAGTATCTAGACTGCAGCAGTCTCTAAGGGGACCTTGCTTAGCAGTTCATGTTTTACACCAACAGCTATAATTATATTCCCAAGATCCCTAAATCTGTACCTATAAGAGAGAAAGATGCTTCCATGGGAGAGGAGCTTGTGGGTTTCTGCTGCTTTTCCTGCCTTCGCATTTGTCACCAGTGCTGCAGACTTCTCTGTTTTCATGGGATTCCCCAAGGTTTTTGGACTGTACAGCAACAGAGCTGAAACCACTGATAGATAGTACCATACTTCAGAGATGTTGAAGTAGTTATACTTAATTTTCTTTGTTTTTTCTCTCGTCAGACTCCACATAGTTCTATAATAAATGCTTGTGAGATATGCAAAGAAATTACAGTGTTAGTGCTGTTTGAGTAAAATTATATAATCTTTTTAATTACAGGTTCCATTGCAGCTTATAGAAAGCGTTGAGTGCCGTGATATATTTCAACTTCATTTGACTTGCAAAGACTGCAAGGTTATAAGGTATGGATAGGCTGAATGCTGAATGGGGGGAACCTTTGCTTTCCACGTGGTGTGGAAAGCTGTGATGCTTTAAGAAATGCTTTTTCTAACTTAGTGTACTCGCTTTCGCTCAAAATACTTTCTTTTGTCCGATTTTGCATAAGGTAACTGGGCTTTTTTGTGAAGAGGATGGGAGCAAGATGGTCTGTAGTTTTGCTTGCTCTGTGATACAGTATAGTAGCAAACCTTGGTCTGAGCCTAAGTGGCTGATCTTGATTTTATTCTGAAATATGCGTTTCCCTGCCTTACAATCAGTTATAATGTATTGCTTCAATTAGTTATAAAGATGCAGAACTAGATAAACTCACTGAAACTTCTTGGAAAAGCGTTTAATCAAGATTTGGGGGTTGGAGGGTATGGGCTTGTGCAAGTCTATGTGAAACCTGCAGTCTGGATGACATCAGCCACCCTGCATTTTTAACAGCTGTGAGGGTACAGTCGCTACCCTTAAGACATAGTAGCCTATTGGAAAAGAAAGTGAGGGAATAAGGTAAAGCCAGGTCTGCAACCCACTCCGTAACCCAGTAGACAGCATCATGCAGAAGGGAGTATTTATTTACGCCTGTCCTTCAGCAGACTTCAGAGTCTGCCCCAGGAGTCTCTGAGCTACTGAGCCTGAGCTACAGCTCTTTCCTACTCTTCTGCTGCAGAAATTAATTTTGATCTATAAACTTTAATTAACAAGAAAGGCACATTTCTTTTTGATTAAATGTTTGCTGGCAGTACCTTTTGTATAATGAAATGAGCACTCGGAATGTTTAACAGGCCAGCTGCTTCCTGAAATGCTGTTTTGATGAAGACTGATTTTACTTTAGAAGTAATATTTAGTTTAATGTGAATTAAATATTTAACTTCCTCTTAACTTGTGGCTCTTGACATTTTAAAAAGTCACCCTTCCTCTCCACTTTAATCTGTTATTTCTCTTCAATTGTAGAATGAATACAAATTATTTGTATTTATGCTCTTCGTTATGAGTTTCCCTCATTGCATCTCTGAGAATCGGTACTTGGTGATGCTGGCCACTGGAAGATCATGAAGTATGGGGCTGAAATACCAGATTTAGAACATGTTCTTGTTCTTTTTCATTAAAAAAGTAGTTTGTGTTTTGAATAATAGGGCTCAAGTGAAAATAGTACTTATTTGCAACACTAACTTTAAAAGACTGTAGAAAGAAAATGGGGTCTTTAGGGTGAGATGTTTCTTGTCTGACTGTGGATATTTAACAGAGTTAGCCAGTCTAAGCTCGTAGTCTCAGCTTGCTTTATGGGCAGTGATGGGAAATAAACGCCTCCAGGCTGCAGTTCCTTGCAGCTATTTAGACACATTTCATGAGCTGGACATGTCTTTTTTCCTTCCACTGACTGATTTTTAGATATTTGCAGGTAGGGGTAATAAATCCTGCCCTTAGAGAATACAGATGCTATCATTAACCATGAATGCAGTAGAACACACTGAGCTGAATGTAAATACTTTGAATATTTTATAACTACAAAATCTTGAAGAAATCTGTCAGAGCAAAGTAAATCACTGATCTTATTTCCATCCTTTTATTCTAAAGGGTCCAGGAATCCTCTTTGAAAAGACAAGCTAATGTAATTTTAATATACTGCTTTGAAGATTAGTTTCTCCTGTGCAGGGAATATTCTTGCTAGCTGTTGTCGTTAGTCTGTAATGTTAGGCAAAGCTCAGTTTCAAAAACATTGTGCTTCCCACCAAGGCTAGAAAGAGAATCTTAGCATATGAGACTGGGGAACAATGTAAGATTTCAGATACTGGAGTTTGTCCTTAAAGTCTCAAATCAAGTGTATTAATCAAATGGGTATTTCTCCTTTGATAAAAAATGTGGTCTTGTTTATGGGAATACGATGCATAGGTTATAACTTATGTGATGATATTGTGAATTTCCACCTGAGCCCGCCCGTCAGCAGGTAATGCATTCCTGTCCTTGATTGTGTGAAAGCTGCAGACTGAACTCAGTGATATTGTCCTTGGTTTTATAGTAAACATACGCAGAAACGTCTCCTTCACTCATGACTAGTAGGGCATACCACTGGTTATTCACAGTCACAGAACATTGCTTTCCTGCTTACAGTTTATTTTGACTCCCCAAGTATGTATTTCTTTACTAATATCCAAAGCTTTCATTTTTACTCTCCATTAGAATGTAGATAGAAGCAGAACTAAGTTATCAATAAGACTCACTTCTTGCTTTCACAAATTTTTCATAGCCAGTCAGATATTAGTTTGGCATCTTTTATTGGAAATTAATAGATAAATGTTTGTTTCTGGGACAGGTGTCAGTTTTCTACTTTTGAGCAGTGTCAAGATTGGCTTAAGCGACTGAACAATGCCATCCGCCCTCCTTCGAAGATAGAAGACCTTTTCTCGTTTGCCTATCACGCTTGGTGTATGGAGGTATATGCTAGTGAAAAGGAACAGCACGGGGATTTGTGTCGGCCAGGTATGTGGAAACACTTTGGAGATCATCACAAATGCATTGACTGGCAATTGCCTGTTTGCTGAAACCCAGAACTTTCAAAAAAAGCTTTGCACAAATTCAACCTGTGCTGTTGTAAACTGAACCTGGAAAGTTCTTGCAATCCTTCACTAGCTTCTGAATATACTGTATGTGGTAATTAAATAGGTATAGTGTACCTTCACTTCCAGTGAGGTGTCCTTTAATGTTTTGCGTGTCTGCCACACAGTCTGAGTTTTCTTCTGTCTGAACAAAGGAGGGATTAGCTCCCACCAGAGCTGCTCTGGGCTGCGGCCAATTGTATGAGATTCAACAAGGCCAAGGGCTGGGTCCTGCCCTGGGGTCACAACAACCCCACACAACGCAACAGGCGTAGGGCAGAGGGGCTGGAAAGCTGCCCGGTGGAAAAGGACCTGGGGGTGTTGGTCAACAGGGGCTGAATAGAAGCCAGCAGGGTGCCCAGGTGGCCAAGAGGGCCAAGGGCATCCTGGCTTGTATCAGGACTGGTGTGGCCAGCAGGAGCAGGGCAGTGACCGTGCCCCTGTGCTGGGCACTGGGGAGGCCGCCCCTCAAATGCTGGGGTTAGGGTTGGGCCCCTCCCTCCCAGAAGGACCTGGAGGGGCTGGAGCGTGTCCAGAGAAGGGCAGCGGAGCTGGGGAG